AATGACTTTTAAGCCCCTTTTATGGTAGACCAGATATCTAAAGTCCTTTAGGAGACAGTTTTCTCTTTTATGCCCTGGTGCTAAATTCATATACCCACAGGACAGGACAGGACAGGACAGAGGTCTCAGGTTAAGCCTAAACCATAAATTCTAGGCATCTATGAACATTTCTGAGGGCAAGAGGATAGGCCAGTCAAGAGATCTCAAATGGGAGGTGGGGCTATCTGAAAAAGCACGGACCAAAGGCAAAATAGGCTAGGTTAATACAGAAAAGAAAGGGGGAAGGTATATAGCTCAGTGGTAGCACACACGCCTAGCATGCATGAGGTCCTGGGTTCAATCCCCTGTACCTCCATTAAATAAATAAATAAATAAACCTAATTACTCCCCCCAACCCCCCCAAAAACAAACAACAAAATTTTTAAAAATAAAAAAGGAAAGTTGATTAATAAAAACTTTTTGTCATTTTATTGTAAGCTCTATCAAGGACAGAACTTTGTCGATTTGCTTGCCATTTCATTGTATCTCCAGCATCTAGGTCAGTGTCTATGAAATAGAAAGGATTCGATAAACACCGGACAAATGGGTGATTCTGGTTCCATGTAAGTGGAGTTAGCACAACACAGACTGTCTCTCCTACTGAATGTAACTATATAGCCTTGACAGAAAGCGTAGAACAGCTACTTGAGGACTCTAAAAACTATATAGCAGCAGTAATTCTATGAAAAACACCAGAATTTGAGGTGCCCTCAAGTCCGTGTTGAATAAGCCCTCCTCCATCTCCCCAGTGGCCGTGCCCTGAGTGTAACACACCCAGAAGCCAGGGATGGAGCGCCCATCAGGGCGCAGACCGAGAGAGCCTCCGGAGAAGCAGTCTGGCTCCACCTTGAGTAGGGAAGTGAGCTCCTAATCCAGACAGTATGAAATTACGTCATTTTTTTCTCGCTTTGTTCTCCATTCTTGTGTGCCTCAAACCTCGGGCAATCTCAAGACAGCAGCAGCAGTGACAATCATGACACCTCATGCCCGAATTCCGGAGGGAGGAGAACCACCCTCTTCACTTGGTGGAACTGTGGTTCCAAGAAGGTGGAGCCAAGTGCTTTGCTTTCTTCCGCCTCCTTTTTCTCTTTCTTCCTGCTATGTGGGCTTACAGATGCAGCCACAATTGCAGAAGTGTATGTTCTAGCAGGGTAACTACAGTCACAAATTTCGGGCTGAAGGATGGAAAGAAAAAAGCTTCTGGGAACCATTAAAGTGTCAGACAGATGACGAAGAGGGAGGAAATCTGTAGAGACCTCTGAACCTTATTTGTTAACTCCTGGCCTCACCTCTACCCTCTACATACACACACAAGCTGTGCATGTGTACCCTTGACTCAAATTAAAGCACTGAAGACATTAAGACCTAAATTATTCATAATAGAACATTGCCACAATCCCAGACCGGCCACTGGGTGAAGCACTTACAAGAAATATCTGAGTAACACTCCAAAGGCTCTGAAAACTGAACTGACGTTGGGACTAGAGACCACAGAAGGCCTGAACGTAGCCAGAGTGATTTCCTGCTAAAACCAATGCTACTTACATGCTCTAAAAATATAGACACCGTCCAAGAGTCTCATAAAAAAAACTTATCCAAAATGTCCAGAATATAATCCAAAATGATTCAGCATATGAACAGCCATGAAAGTTTTAACTTGCATGGGGAAAGTCAGTCAACAGAACCCAAGCTGAAGTAACACAGAGGCTGCAATTATCTGGCAAAGATTTTAAAGCAGCTGTTATAAAAATACTCAAAATATCAAATGAATGAAGAAATACATGAAATAATTTAACAAGAATTAGAAATCTTTTTCTCATCTAAATTGCCTTCTCTCTAAGTTGATTACTACTTTTATCAAGGACAAAAATACCTTTTCTATCCTAAATTATGGTATCTCAATTTTCCCCAACTAATAAATATCACCTGGATTGAACCCAGGACCTCATGGATGCTAAGTACATGCTCTTCCACTTGAGCTATCCCTTCCCCCTTGCTCAGCTTTTTTATTTGTAAATATCTTTACTTAATTTTTAATGTTTTCTCTCCTATGATCTCCCATGATAGGTTTTCTAACTTATTGAATAATAATAATACGTTACGTCTGTGTAACACTCCACAGTTGGTACTGCTCTCAGTG